TGTCACCCTTGTGAACATCTCTGTTCCCAACATAATGGTTTCTTTATCTAACTGGCAAATGCTGTGATTCTTTCCCATTTATAAAAGGCAGAAATTGAGCTGGTATTTATTCTTTCATGCTTACAATTAGCTGCTACATCTTTAAATCTCAAAACAAAGCCAGCTGAATTCTATTATTAATAGGTCTGGAAATATCAACACAGATACCAATTTTTCCTGCTCCTCTTTTTTTTTTCTCTCTTTCTAAATGCCAGGCTATTGTTACATAGCCCTGGCTAGCCTAGAACTTAGGACCCACCTCCCTCTGCCTACCAAGTGCTGGAATTACAGGACTGCATCACCAGACTCTGAAAGCACCAATTCTCTGATTACTGAACGATATTCACTGTTATTTATACAGTCACATGGTAAAAAAATCAATTAAAATCTAATTCTTGTGAATTATACCTGTTATCCCAGCTACTCAAAAGACTGAGATCAGGACAGTCATGGCTCCAGACTGACTAGCCAGGGCAAAAAGCTCACAAGACGGTATCTCAACATACAAATGCGGGGCATAGTGTCACTTGCCTATCATCCCAGAAGTAAATAGGAAGATCATGCTCCAGGTTGCCCCAGGCAAAAATCAATAATCAACTTCAAAAAATGAACCAGAGGGCTGGGAAGGTGGCTCAGTGGTAGAGCGCTTGCCTTGCATGCATGAGGCCCTGGGTTCGATTCCTCAGTACCACATAAGCAGAAAGAAAAAAGCCAGAAGTGGCGCTGTGGCTCAAGTGGTAGAGCACTAGCTAAAGAGCTGAGGGATAGTGCCCAGGCCCAGAGTTCAGGCCCTACGAGCGGACACCCCCCCCCAAAAAAAAGAACCAGAGCAAAACAGGCTAGAAATGTGAAGTGTACCTCCAGTGGTAGAACACATATCTAACAGCTGTAACACCCTAAGTTCAAACCCCAGTATAATTTAAAAAAAAAAAAAACCTCAAGAATAAGACTTTGTAAGGAATATTAAGAAAGACAACTTTGGGGGAAGGAGAAGGGTTGGGATTGGGGGGGGAGGGGGGAGGCTGGGAAGGGATGTGAAGGGTAAACCAAAGGAGGAGGCTGCAATGCTTGCTAAGAAATGTACGCATTATCCTGCCCATGTAATTGTAACCCCTCCGTACAGTATGTTCACAAATAAAAAAAAAAAAAGTATTAATCGAAAAAAAAAAAAAAGAAAGACAACTTTACTTAGTTATCCTGGGTTATAATTACCCAGAGGCAGATAAAACTACTGATGAGCAAATAAAAATACTTTATTTAGAAGACAATGAAGCTCTCCAATTTCACTCTTTAGTTATGTCTCCAAGACAAATGAAGACAGATGGTCACACAAGAATTTATACGTGAACATTCATAGTAACCCTGTTCATAATAGCCAAAAAAAATTTTCACTTGACAAATGGATTAATAATATGTGGTCTACTCTAAACTGGGATATTTGAGGGAGGAGAGGGGACTGGAGGGAAATAAGCATGGATACACTGCTACAAAAACAGACGAACCATGCCAGGCACTGGTGGCTCATGCCTATAATTCTTGATACTCAGGAGGCTAAGATCTGAGGATTGTGGTTCAAAGCCAGGCTGGGCAGGAAAGTCCGTGAGACTCTTATCTCCAATTAACCACCAGAAAACCAGAAGTGGTGCTGTGGTTTAAGTAGAGTGCTCACCTTGACCTGAAGAGCTCAAAGACAGTGCCCAGGTCCAAAGTTCAAGGCCCACGACCAACAAAAACAAAAAAACAGACAAACCCAGAAAAGATTCTAAGTGCCAGAGGTCAGGTACAAGTAGAAATGCTGCAGAAAACCCTGCAAGAATTCATTCTATGACAGGTCCAGAGCAAGGACTATCTGCAGAGAAAACAGATCAGTGGTTCACTGAGACTGGTGGAAGAAACAGAGATGAGGGAGTGAGTTCATCAGAGTCTTTTCACTATGTCCAAACACCCTAAAATCAATTGTACTCAGGTTTCTGCAAAGCTCTGGTGGTGGTATGCACTTGAATCGTCCCCCACTACAAGGATGAGAAGGAAGGTCGTGGGTAAGTTATTGGATCATCAGGCTGTGACCTAGTCAGTAGATTTACACATTGACAGAGTCATACTTCTATGGAACTATTTGCAGTTGATGGAAACTAAGTGGTGGGCCCGACTAGAGGAAACTGGACATAGCGGGTGAGCTCTAGACGGATTTACCTCATCTCTGATGGTGCCTGTCTCTGTCCCTCTTGCTCTCGCTCTCTCGCTACTGCTCTCTGCTTCCTGGCTGCCAGGAGGTGAGTAGCTTGCTCCATCACACCTCACCATGACACTTGGCCTCACTCAGGCTCCCAGGCAGCCTTCCCATCATGGACTGAAACCTCTGGGACTAGGAGCCAAAATAAATCTTTGTCTTCTTCGGGTACTCTGTCACAGTGATAAAAACTTAAAGCTTATGTGCATACACTAAGTTCCAACATGTACTAAATGGGTAAGGTGTATACTACAGGCATTAAAGTTCATTACAAATGTCCATGCTCTCTGTCCAATTGAGTTTTACTGCTTCTTTTTAGAGGACAATCCATTTTTTCTCATTCCATTTGTAATGAGGAAAGCTTTATGAAGAACCATCATCTACAATCTCTGCTCCCATAAGATGACAAATCAAGTTTCCAGTTTAATAGGACTTCTAATAAAGAAAACTAAGAGAATCTCTCATTTAGAGAGCCAGAACCCTACCATAAGCTGATCTAATCAAATCCAGCTTTCAGGCCCGTTAGTCAGGAGAAGGAGGCTTGAGGAGGCAGGAACTCTCTCCTTACTGAAGGGTCCCATGCATACTAGAAATGCTCATAATGGGCTGGGACAGCTGGGGTACACTAACAATGCTGTGAGTGTATGTACATGCACACTCTCACACACATACACCACTCACACTCCTAACACACACTGCCAGAAAACCCAGTGCCAGACTATAGTGCTCCACAAGAGTCATTTGAGAAGTAGCTACAACACCATCTACCTTAAAAAGTCAACCTAGGAGCCAGGCGCTGATGGCTCATACCTGTAATCCTAGCTACTCAAGAGGCCAAGATCTGAGAATCATTGTTTGAAGCCAGCCCCCACAGGAAAACTCCATCAGATTCTTATCTCCAATTAACTAGCAAAGAACCAGAAGTGGAGCTATGGTTCAACTGGTACAGTGTCAACCTTAAGGGAAAAGCTGAGGGACAGCATCCAGGCCCTGAGTTCAAGCTCAACTACCAGCAAAAAATAAAATAAACATGTTAGAAAGAAAACTGAATAATAATTCCTACTGAATGTTAAGTTCTACTTTTTTTTTTGAAGTTTTATATTCTAAACAGTTTCCCCAAGTGCCAGCTGATTGAGTTCAGAAATACTTTTCTGAGCAGTATGGAGGTTCCTCAAAAGACTTCACATAGAACTCCCCTATGACCCAGCAATCCCACTTTTGGGCATTTACCCAAATGTTTACAAACAAGACCACACTAAAGCTACCAGCACAACAATTTTATTGCAGCATTATTTACCATAGCTAAGATATGGAACCAACCCAGATGCCCCTCAGTAGATGAATGGATCAAGAAAATGTGGTATGTATACACAATGGAATTCTGTGCCTCCATCAGAAAGAATGGCATTGCCCCATTTGTTAGGAAATGGAAAGACTTGGAAAAAATTATATTAAGTGAAGTAAGCCAGGCCCAAAGAAACATAGGTCCCATGGTTTCCCTTATTTGCAATATCTAGTATATGTATGAGTCAAGCGGAAAAGGTCAGATAATGTGATGTCAGGAAAATGAACCCTTAGATATGTATTTTAATGTTTTTTCTTTCATGCATGTGTTTCGAATGCATTTATAAGATTATCTCTTTGTTGCTTTGTATGTCCCTCCCCCACAGTATAACCCCTGCTTTCACTATATTTGATGTCAGTATAACTTGTGGAGGAGATGGGGAAAAACCAGTTGTTTAAGGATACAGGTGGACCTGTTGCAACAATGAGAAGTACAAGTTGTCATGTCCAAAACTAGCTTTACAATGTCGGTGCGGGGGGGGGGGCCGCGGGGAGGGGAAGGAGAAGGATTGGGATTGGGGGGGAGGGGGAAGGCTGGGAAGGGATGTGAAGGGTAAACAAAGGAGAAGGATGCAATGCTTGGTAACAAATGTACGCATTATCCTGCCCATGTAATTGTAACCCCTCTGTACAGTATGTTCACAAATAAAATTTAAAAAAAAAAGAACCAAAAAAAAAAAAAAGAAATACTTTTCTGTCCCATAATTCTGAGTAAGCTAGGGACAAAGGAGTTTGACAAAATGAGTACTCTGGTTTTATGGGGCACACGTTGGGAAGGACTATTCCAAAAGCTCCAGTAGGTTCATCCTGACCTGAGCACCTTGCCCAGGTCAGGGCACTGTGAAGTCAGAACCCACCCCTCTAGGCTGCCTGTAATGCCCATGCAAGAGACCAGGGGAGCAGATTCTCAGACCCAGAGAATCCACCCTCTCATTCCAAAGACATGCGTAGGCTCCATGACTCATGTTAAAAAAAAAAAAAAAAGATCACACCTTTTGGGGGCTTTTGATGCTTTAAGGATACTAACCAGATGAGGTAAAGTTGCTGTTCTCATAAACAACAGTTTCTGGTATTTTCTTGAGAGCCAAAAAGTAATTTTATAACTTAAAAAAAAAAAAAACTTGGCCAGGCACCAGCCTGTAATTCTGTAATTCTAACTATTTAGGAAGCTGAGATCACAGAACCACAGTTCAAAGCCAGCCCAGGAAGAAAAAGCTATGCTGGAGGTATGGTTCAAGTGGTAGAGTGCTAGCTGAGTAAGCAAGCTGAGTGAAGGCTCAAGGCCCTGAGTTCATGCCCTGGTACTGGCACTAATACAAACAAAACCTTTGTATCCCAAGATAAACCAAATGTGGACTGAGACAAGGTATCCTATTTCAGCACCCACCTGCTGGGCCGCTTCCCCGTTCACCAAATGTGGCATCATGGCGACCTCTCCATTCAGAAGTGGGGGCAGTTCCAGAGGGATTTGGTCGGTCATCATCATGGTGACATACATTCATGGAGAAGTTCCCTCCACTGGCTTCCTGCAAGACAAACACCACAAATTTTTGGTTTAGAGTTTTGTGTTTTTGTGTGTGTTTTTTTCTTTAAAAAAAAAAAAGAACCACAAAAATGAACTGTAACCTAAGCTATATGAAAGTCAGCAATTCTGAATGCACCATCATGAAGTCTGCTGAAACCCAAATTACTCTAATCATAGAGGATTATTATTATTCTGTCAAGTTTCCAGAAGGGGCAGAGACAAGGGGGGAAAAAAATACCCTGAACTGGGAGATCAAAACCAGAGTCTCCAGGCAGCCATGTGAATGTAACCTCTAATGCCTCAGCTGGGCAGTTAGTGAAGAACTTTAAAACAGACCAATAATAACAACAATCTTGCCCTAGAGGTCTTTCTGAGGATAAAGTCAAACATTTTCAGATAGTAAAAATGCCAAACAAGCTGATAGCTTACAACTGTGGTCCTTACTACTTTGGATGCTGAGATCTAGAGGCTCCCTGTTCAAGGCCTGCCTAAACAAACAGAAAAGTTGCGAGACTGTTTCTCAACATACAGATGGGCACCATGGTGTATACCTGTCATCCCAAACTACATGGGAGGCTAAGACTGGGAAATCCATGGTTCAAGAGCAGCCCAAGCAGAAAAGGCCTCAAAATTCCATCTCCAAAAAGAGAAGCTAGACATAGTAGTACACACCTGTCTTCCCTAAGTAAAAAATAAGAAAAATCAGGGTACAGCCACACAACCAGGGTGGGAAGTGAGACCTTACCCTGAAAATCACCAGTGCAAGAAAATCACTGGAAGTTCCAGCCTAACAGCCATGCCCAAGGCCCTGAGTTCAGACCCACTGATAGCAAAAAAAGACAATGCCAAGTAAAAACCAGGGGATATCATCTGGGAGGCAAAGACAACAGCTTGGTAATCACAAAAGATTTTCCCCTCTTGAGTGAAGGAACATTCCAGAGAGTGAGACAAGACAGGCCCAGAGACTAATGCTAGTACAACACCATTGTCTACCCAGAGTTTTGCTTCTAATTAAAAACCCATCCCTCAAGCTGGGTGCCAGTGCTACAACTCCTGTAATCCTAACTACTCAGGAGGCTGAGATTTGAGGATCACAGTTGGAAGCCAGCCAGGTCAGGAAAGGCTGTGAGACTCTTATCTCCAATTAATCAGCACAAAAGGCCAGAAGTGGAGCTGTGGCTCAAAGTGATAAAGCACTATCCTTTTCTACTAAAGCTCAGGAATAAATCTCAGGCACCAAGTTCAAGCCCCAAGACCAGAAAAAAAAAATCTTTCTCCCTTGGGGGGGTGGGGGGGAGAATGCAATTTTTTCTCATCTTAGTGTTCATTTTAGTGAGCCTTTGTTACAAAAACAGGAAGGAAGGAAGGGAGGGAGGGAGGGAGGGAGGGAGGGAGGGAGGGAGGGAGGTTGATTTACCCTTTCATTAGGATTTAAAATAATAATTTCATGCAAGTAAGTAAACAGATGTTAACTGCATATACTACAATTATAATATATGTAATATAAGCTGGCACAGTTTTTCTTTGGCTTTTTGCTGATTAATTGGAGAGGAACAATAAAGTCTCTTGGACTTTCCTGTCGAGGTTGGCTTGAAACTGTGATCCTCAGCCTCCTGTGTAGCTGGTATTACAGGCATCAGCCACTCATATCCATCTTTTGTCATTCTTGAACAACTCCATCCCAGATACCCCACTCCAGACAAAGCCCTCCCAATGAGGCAGAAAAGCCACCCAAGAGATAATAAACATTTTTTTCCTTTTAAATAAGTAGAATTTTACACTACACATTATCACCCCCACTTGGAGGAACTAATTATTTAAGCAGCAAGCTAGGAAGTCTTGTCCCAGCAAAGTCAACACACTCCCTAATAACAGGTCTTATAATCAGGTGTTATGAGTACCACCGTGCTGTTTTATTAGGCAATTGCTCATGTCCTACACAAATAAAAGTACAAAGCACAGAGCACAAGGGTTTATCCCCACGAGGAAAACAGCCTTCTACATGAAAGCTCAGGTCACCTTAGATACTCTCAGGTAGATGTGTTTGACTGGGAGTGAAGTGATCGAGAAGGACCACTTCACTCTCATTTCTAACACTTGATCCTAGGAGCAGGGCAAGGAAAAATGGCAAGTCATTTTTTTTTCTCAGATTGAGAAAAAAAGAAAAAGAAAAAAGACCTCCTTCTTAGGTGTGATTTATTCACTGTATCCTTGAAAGTCAGTTGAGTCACAGTTAGAAATGACCCCTGGCCCTGCCCATAAAGGACTTCCAGACACTGGATGAAGGAGCAAACAGCAACAGTGATTCTCCCTTGCCTTCCATAACAGCCTTCCCTTCCCCTCCCCACTGGGACAGCACAGTTCAGCCCCTCTCCCCGACAAATGGAACCTGCTCTCTTCTGTGTCACCCAGTAGGACAGAAGAAGTTAACTAGCTTCTGGGACTGCCCTAAGTCCTTGCAAGTTCTGTAGGTCATCCTTTAAGTCAGAGCATAGAAAATGACAGTACGTGTTGGGGAAGAGAGGGGAGGGGAGGGGGAAGGAAGAAGGGAGGAGAAAGATTAGGGAAGGGGGAGGGAGGAGGAGAGGGGAGGGGAAGGGGAAGAAATTTAGTTTCAACCACAGGCCCTCACAATCTCTCCCCCTAACCCCACATCCTAACACTAAAACCACAAGAACTCCATGCGTTTCCTATTCTTTTGAATGAAAGGGGTGGGAAAGAAGCCATGTGGCATTTGTGACTCATGACTCTCTTCTAAGAGAGCACATCCCTGGTTATCAACTACTTCTGGGTTCAATAAATGGCAGGAGTCAGAGGTTGGACAGGGAAATAAGAAAACAAAATGAATACAACGTTGCTGTTAGTAAGATGAAATGTCTTTCAAGTATGAGTCCAAAGCTTTTTTTTAATGTTATTTTAAAAATAATATCCCAATCAGATGGCAGGGACTCACAGCTATAATCCTAGCCACTCAGGAGGCTGAGATCTGAGGATCACAGCTCAAAACCAACCTGGGCAGGAAAGTACATGAGATTCTTAACTTCAATTAACTACTAAAAAGCCAGACATGGAGATGTGGTTCAAGTGATAGAGCATTAACCTTGAGTGAAAAAGGCTAAGGGACAGCACCCAGCCACTGAGTTCAAGCTCTCGTACCAGCACAAAAATAAATTTTAAAAATCACCAAGTGTCTGCTAGTTCTATACTTCTCTAGACAACTGGCTTATTCCAAGTTTTCCTACTTCAAACTGGCCAACTTCACAAAAATGATCAAATCAGGGCTTGAGTCCTATTTCATGAAAATTTCCTTCTTTACTATCCAAGGGTGGTAGTTCACACCTGTAATCCCAACTACTCAAGAGGCTAAGGCAGGAGAATGTCTTGAGCTCCTGACATACTAGACCAGCCCTACCAATTTAGTAGGAACCTGATTGAAAACAGCAAATGAAAAACTAAGCTGGAAATGATGCATCACTAATATCAGCCACTCAAGAGGCTAGATCAGGAGGACCATGCTTTGAGACACGCACAGAGTAAAAGATCATGAGATGCTGGCTCAACCAATAATAAGTTGTGCAAGATGGTGCACATTTGTCCTCCTAGCTTCTCAGAAAGCAGAAATGGGAGGATCATGATCTAGGACATCCTGTGCAAAAGAAAGTAGAGTGTATTCAAGAAAATAACAAAAACAAAAGGGTTGAGAATATAGCCCAAATAAAGAGCAATTAGCAAGCCCTGAATTCAAATCCCAGTACCACCACCAGCAGCAGCCCAACAAAACTGATTCCGATACTGAAAACTTTATTGTAGGTAAAACTTGAGAACATTGTCACAATTATACCAAAGCAATGTCTGTCTACTTCTATAATATTAATGAAGAAAAGTAACTGAGCTTCTTGTGGAGGAGATGGAAAAACTGTATCAATAGTCAACAGGATCCTTTCATAAACCATAAACATCCTGACTTTTCAGAAAATGATTTATTTTTCTGTGCTCTGTTTTGGAAGCTATTAAGAAATAATTGTGTGCTCTAGCCTTTTAAAAACAGTACCACCTTAAGAGAATTAATGTTTTATGAGGAATTGCAATATACAACCAAAAGTTAAGAACACTTCATTCAGGACATCAGCCATTTGTGTCACTGGTTCATGCCTGCTTATGTCACAGTGGCAGTAGAAGAGGAAAATCTAGGCAGGTCCAATTTCAATAAGGAATCAAACAGCACAGAAATAATAGCAGCCTGGATCACCCCACCCTACAGGTGGCCTTGATGTGTAAATGCCATTGTCATAAGGACTGACAATTTCCTAAAAGTGCACTTCCTTTCTGTGTTTTATTAGCAAGACTTACAAAGATGGGGTGGGGGGAGGAGAAAAGAGAGAGGAAGAGAAGAGAGGAAGGGAGGCAGCTAGTTGGACACATTCTGGCAAGGACTGGGGACATCAAAGTACCACAATCTCCTCTGTCCTTCTTGATCCACACCAGGTTTGAGAGGCAAATTCTTAGGCTGGTGTTTCCAGACTTAGAAATTCTGGAAGTGCAAAAAGAAAAAGAAAGAAACTCTGGTAGTTAACATTCTAAGTCTTCCCAGCAAAACTGGATGCCTCTTTTCATTTATACAATAACTATGGGAAATGCACAGCATCAACAGAAGCGGGGGGGGGGGGATTAAAAGGAAACTGGAGCAGACCACTATCTTCATTACCTCTGAAATTCTGAGAAATCTGTTCATCCATCAACATACACTTGTTCGGCCACTTCCAGGACTGTGAGAAGAGGGCTTACCTCTGCCTTCCCAGGAACCCTACACCAGCTCTGCATGAGACATTAGCATGGGGCCCCTGTGGCCTGATGTGGGGCACGGCCATTGGACAGAATCTGAGAGGGAGGGGCTGCCCACTGACAGGCCCGAAGTCTCTCCAGTCCACTGCCAACTGGTAAGCACTTGGTCCTTTGCTTCTTTAGAAAACCAAATTAAATAGCACAAAAATAAAAAC